AAACCATTCCATGATCCTATGAAAGTCAAGTTAAAAAGAAGATGTACAAAGTCAAGTGACACACCAGCATTTTTGGGCAAAGTAAGGAAGGAATAGAGCACAAATGTTTGGAATGTATTCAGCCTGCATTTGGCTGTGGAACTTTTCTTCTATGAATGTTCTTCAACTACTACAGTATGAGAGTATATATATCAGTTATTATGGTCTGAAAGATTAATATAAGAAATTATTTTTAAAAAGGTTTTCAACCTTAAAAAAATCTGAATTAAACATTTAAAGACAAAACTGAGCTCAGAGAATAGTTTAGCAGCATGTGTACTTCATTGCTGCTTCTTGCTGGTTTGTAGACCTGTTTCTTTTTAATAGTTTGTGAGAAGCAGGTAGGTAAGCCTAGATTCCCTTGTAGAAACACTGTGATCTGTTTTATGGTGCTGAATTATGGAACAAAACCATTAAAAATAAAAGCAACGAGCATCCAAAGGCCTGTTGATGGGGTTGTGGGCATGGATTTATTAGTGAAATACCTGTGAAGCAAATGCCTAAATTTGGTGTTAACCTTAGACTTTAACCTTATGACTTCTGTAGCTTTTAACTTGTGTACTTATTTTTCTCATTGCTTGTTCTGCTTCATCTTCAACAGGAGTACAGGCTCTCGATTTGCAGCAAATTATGCTATGCAATAGGAGGTGCCCCAAATCAAGTGGCAGGGAGTGCTGCTGCTTTCTTTCTACAGATCTACCTGCTGGATATAGCCCACGTAAGTAGCATAACAAACCTTTACAGATTGTAGACTTACCTCAGCTCTGATGTTGTCAACAATGTCCCTAGAAAGATAAAAGCTGAATTACCTAATAAAGCTGTTAAACTGTCTTGCTGTCTTTGCCTGTACCTGATCAGCATCCTGAAAGCTGCATAAACTTGTCTGGAAATAATTTTTTCCCTCTAGTTTACTTTCTGTCTCAAAGTGGCCATTGTTTACATTTAGTTTGGAATCATTAGTAAAGCTTTAGACACTGTAGAGCTCACACACTTGCAGACACAAGAAAAAGCAGTTCATTGTGTCAAGAGTCAGAGGGTGCAAGTTATGAGATGCCTGAAACATTAATAGCATCACGTTGAGATTTTGTTCATTGGGTTTAGTTAAAAATCACTGCAGTTGCATCCAGTAGTCAACATCATTTCACATAAATTTTATTTGTTTTATCTAGGGTAATTGATTTGCAAAGAAGGCTGAGTTATCCTTCCTGAAGGTTCTGTGCTTCTAGCCTGTGGCTTTCTGGGGCAGAAGCAGACCTGGTAAAACAAAGCAGTAGGAGTCATCCCATTCATCTGACTTTCAGCTGCTCCAGCTAGATTTCAGGGCAGCAGGAAAGAAAGAAAATCAATCCATAAGCAATTTTTACTGTTTTGGATTGTCTTGTATGTCTACATGGTGACTAGGTGGGACTAGGTCCTACCTAGTGTTATAGCATAGAGAAAGTATTATAGCATAGAGAAAAGGATTTTAGGGAGATGAAGCCAAACTTCAGGGACTGTGAGAACAGCTGTAGCTGAAATGACACAAGTGGCTTTCAGCACTGATGGCTGGTTTTATTTGTGGGAGAGAACAGAAGGTTCTGGGTCAGGTATCATTATTCATTTGCTGTTCAAGATGTAGAAAGGCAGGATATCATTACTAGGGGAATGGAGGTGTCCAAAAGATTTGGTTTGGAGGTTTCCTCTAAAAGTCTGATATCCAAAGCTGAGGTCTAACTTACTGGATAAAATTGGCAGCACAATGCAACTGATTTATAAAACTGTAATCTCAAATCTCTTGTGATCGAAGTCACAAGACCTAGAGAAGGGGCCAGTTTTGGATAGCAGTGTCAAAGATGGCAAGTGGATGGAGTGGAGTCTGAGGAGTTGGAGATGGAACTGGTAACTTGGAGATCAGCAGGGAGTGGATGCTGCTCTTACTACAGTTATTTCACACTTACATCAAGGATGGCAATACAAGCCATTGGAGACGATGAAGCATGAACTGCATGAGAAAGACACTAATACGGATTTCTCAGGGTGCTTATAAATACAACAATTTCCCCGCCCTTTGCTTATCACAGAAATTGGGAAGCCTTGAAACTAGGGACTGTTTATTTCTCTATCTGTTTGTGTACATTGTCCAGAAGGCGGGGGTCCCATTCCTGCATCTTTGGGCACTACCTAAATAAATGACATAATTATTTTGTTAACAAGCTCCTACTGAATCCGAATCATTCTGCTTAATGTTTGTCATGATGCACTTATTATTTCATTAAGAGGCTTAATTATTTGTTCCTTGATGATTTAGTTTGTTTTCTGAAGTAATCCTGCAGGGACAGGATTTATTTGAAGGCCTGAAAAACAGCTCTGAATTCCTGTGGGGTTTTTTTCACACATTTTCAGGGAGAGGGTGTAATTTTATAGTCACTATCTGGATTTAATTCTTGTCCACTTGTCCACTTAGAGGGCAGAACTGTTTAAGCTCTTTGAGGGACTGGGAAACTTGCTAGGTATAATCTTTCATTCATAATCTGGATCCTTTCTAAGAAAATTACATTTGTATTAATTTTCTGTAGCTTACAGTTTTTCCTTTTGAATTCCATGTTCCACCTAAATTACCTGTATAAACTGCGGACATATAAATGTAACTCCAAACCACCACAAATTACTAGAAAACACCACAATCTCTGATAATAGCACCCTGGTCTTTACTCCTTTTGAGATGGGTGAATTTAGCATATTTAATCTTGTGTTTTATTAACACTGAAAAGTTTTTGGCATTGGTGCTGACACTGTCTAGATTTAGGGGCTAGGAAAAGGCATCCAAGGGCTGTATAAGCCCCTACTGATGATGAAGACAGGGTGACTATGTGGACTTCACTTCTAACATGAGAGGTATTAGTTTTCCTCGAGGCTTTCCTCCACTTTCATTTATGTAGTATTCTGTGTATCCACGTTATCTGAACAAAATACCAAGCGTAGTGACTTGTGAGCGGTTCCAGTGTAGCCCCCATGGCACTTCTGCCTCAGGGTTGGTGGGCTGCTTGCCCCCCTAGCTGTGGGAGGGTACTCGTCAGCCAAGGTGGATGAAGTGAGTGTCAGCAAACTGCTGTTGGATACAGCCCAGAGCTTATCCCAGCCTTGTCCCACAGCCCAGCAATAAGATGCTTGGAGAGCCACTGTCATTTCCTGCTGGAGACTGCCATTCCCAATCCTTCCCTGTTCATAAGCTTTCCAGGGTGGAGTATAGGCATAGGTATAGGTATAGGCATACCTACAGCAAGTTCTGCGTGCAGGGGACCTGCATGCTGTGTGATGCTGCCTAGGAGGCAGTAAGCTCTGCAGAAGAGCAGGGCACACTAGCTCAGGCTTGGCGTTGTATCAGCTGCATTTACCAGGCTTCCTGCTAGGTTGGAGCACTGATAGCATGAAGATGCATATAGGTGAAGGGGTTTTATCTGCCATTGCTGTTTAAGCCCCCGAGGCTGTGTCAGCAGTCTCTCCTCAATGTTTCTCCCCCCACCTTTTTTAACCATTGTGTGATATGCATTCCTAAGCTCTCTACAGATATATGTGAAAAATAATTTCGTTGCCCAGGATAAACTATATTTCTATACTGGCACTTAAGTATGGTCCTCTTGGGTTAACTTCAAAGGTTTTGCTACTTGGCCATTTTATTCCTGTGTATCCTGTGAACATTTTTCAAGTGAGAATCGTTGGACATAGGCTGGCAGCTTTTGAGCAGCTACGCCTCACGCAGTTCGGTTGTCACAGTTCGGAGTGGATAATGTCTGCTGTGCTCTTCCACAGCCACGTGTCACCACTTGGCGCCCTTGTTGGTAACCTCGGGAGATGAAAAAGCTTGAATTCCTGTAAACAGCTCCCTCTACCTTTTTTCCTAGATCAGGTCAAGATAAAGATACAGGGAAATGGGGCTGTGTGGGGAACAAAACCTGACAGTCCCTCTGTAATTATCCCGACTTTATGACTAAACCAAGGGCGTTAGTCTACTATTTGATTATCTGACTCATTTTCCCAGTTCTAAATACATCCATAATCTGTCCTTCCTTGCACTTTTCCCCTCTAATCCCTTCTTGCATGGTGCCTGTCTCAGTGTCACATTTGTTTGCTACGGGTAACCAGTAGTAATTTCTATGACAGCAGCAGGCATGTTTTGTAAATGAACTATTATTATTCGTTAAAACACTGAGGTTCTTTCTGGAAAGTTGCTTTATGCTGTTTCTTTGTATTGTGAAACAATGGCTCTTGTTGACAGTATTGTGTCTGTACTTCCAGATTACTCCATTTCATGCCTCTTTGGTGCTGTTCATTGGCAAAGCCTCAGGTGCAGTTACCGATCCTGTTGCTGGCTTTTTTATTAGCAAAAGTAGATGGACAAAAATTGGCCGACTCATGCCTTGGTAAGCATAAATGTGTACATATATTTACATCTATATATATATATATGAATATTGTGTGTGTGTTGTGATCATACAGTCACCTCATTGAATTAGACCCATCTTTCTTTGCCTGTTTCCCAGACAACAGTGACTGTTCATTCTACATATATAAAATCAAAAAGAAAAATTGTCATGTCTATTTCCATCTATTTCCCTTTAACTTGTTCACTCATGAAAACATTTCTACCATTGGAGACACAAGCAAATAATGCCAAGACACTGTGTTGTTAACAAATCTGGAAGCTCAGATCTAAGACTTTCTTCAATCTGTGGTTGAATTTTTGTCTTTGTCTAGATTCTTTCAGTTTGGCTTCACTTCTGCACAAAGTTGGAACTTGTTTCTACTTCTTTTCTAGTGTGCTTTCACTTCTCACATCAGCCTTCCAGGAGCTCTGTTAACTTTAATTCTCTAGGCCTTTCAATTTGGTAAAGGATGTGTGTATACATGTGGAACAGATGCATCGAAGGGCTCACCAACCAGTACTTCCCTGACACTCTACTACATTCTTCCTTACAGCAGCCATCCTGGTCCTGCTTATCTTACATCTCTGTCACCAAAATGCATAATTAAAAAATCACATTAATTTTATAATGGAATGAGGTGCTATAAGATTTTGATCAGCATTTCTAAAGGGATAGTAATGTTTCACTGTGACATATCTACCCCTCATAGTCACTCCGTAGCTAGTACACTGGTACGTGTGCTGTAAGGAGAGATTAGAAGAATGAATGTTACTTGTATAGGAAGGAGATGGACAGGTGTGAAGTAAGAGAATTGGAAAGGAGCGGGCCATGGTAGAGGAATCCAAGCTCATTTTTATGATTTTTTTTTTTTTTTTAAATATTTTGGAAACCAAGGGGAGACTGAGTAGTTTATGAAATAGGGAGTCTTTCATTGTTGTTCTATGTCATGCATTATAAGGATGTATTGAAATATATTTTGAATTAATTTAACCCCCAAACTTGATTCACTACAAAAATCTAAGAGTAAATGTGGTATCCTGAGAAAACAAGTTGAATTTTCATGGAAAATAAGACCAATTTTTTAGCTGGTAGTTCTCTTGCTGTTGTATGGTTTTAGGGCCACAGAAGCTTGTCCGTGGGCAGCTTATATCTGACAGAGAGAAGGCAAGTGCATGTTGGGAGAAGGCTGAGATCAGCTGCTTATGGCCCAGGTAGGAACAGAGTCTTCAGATCAAAGTCAAGCTTATTGTCAAGAGCCCCATGGTGAAAGAGGAGCTTGCTGCTGTTTCATAGAATCATAGAAACACAGAATGGTTTGGGTTGGAAGGGACCTTAAAGATCGTCTAGTCCCAACCATGCTAGCATGGGCAGGGACACCTTCCACTAGACCAGGTTGCTCAAAGCCTCATCCAGCCTGGCCTTGGACACTTCCAGGGATGGGGCATCCGCAGCTTCTCTGGGCAACCTGTTCCAGTGCTTCACCACCCCCTCCAGGAAGAACTTCTTCCTGATATCTAATCTAAACCTCCCCGCTTTCAATTTAAACCCGTTACCCCTTGTCCTGTCACTACAGGGCCTTGTAAAAAGTCCCCCCCAGCTTCCCTGTAGCCCCTTCAGGTACTGGAAGGCTGCAATAAGGTCTCCCCGGAGCCTTCTCTTCTCCCGGCTGAACAAGCCCAACTCTCTCAGCCTGTCCCCATAGGAGAGGGGCTCCAGCCCTCTGACCATCTTCGTGGCCTCCTCTGGACTCGCTTCAACCGGTCTATACCCTTCCAATGTTGAGGGCTCCAGAGCTGGACACAGTACTCCAGGTGGGGTCTCCCCAGAGTGGAGCAGAGAAGAAGAATCCCCTCCCTCAACCTGCTGGCCACACTTCTCTGGATACAGCCCATGATGCAATTGGCTTTCTGGCCTGCTGGCGCACACGGCCAGCTTATGAAAAGAAACTCTTGCTGTTTCTCTTTGCAGGCTTTGGTTTGTTGTCAGGTAAATGGTGTGCTTCTTAATGAGCACTGAAATAACCAAATAGCAAAGTTATTTAGAAAGAAAATAATGACATTTTTACACAAATGCCATTAGATGTATTTTGATGTCTTTTCTTTTTTCTCAGTTCTCTGAAAATACTGCAAATACCTATCTTTAGTGTTAAATCAGTGTTAGGATAACTCCCATCCTAGCACAAGTATGAATGTATCAGCCCTTTGCAGCGTAAACCAACTACTGTACAACCTCCACTTCTTACAGGAAAAGTACTTATCTAACCCAGCCTTTAATATGTGTTCATCAGACAGCTGCTCTCCTTCCAGAAGGATTTTGTCTGCTTTTTTGGTAATGGTAATTTTTCTCATGGGAATTTTGTTCCTACACTTTGGAGGTCCGACCATATTTATACAAAGGAAAACATGGGGCTTCCATTAGCTTAAAAATATTTTGAAACTATTCTGACTTAAGTGTCTAGAGTGAAGCAATGGAATTGGCTCAGTCAGCAAAGCTTGGTAGTAAAGCAAGAATATTAGTAAAGAAGGAAAAGTTTCACTATAGCTTCGTACTACACATGATACAATAAGTTATCAATCACTATTGATTTTCTTTATGGAAGGTGTTTAAAAGGCATAAGCAGACACTGACTCAAAATACACAAACCTGGTCAAATATTTGGTCAGAGGAGACAATAGTAGACAATGAGATATCCAGCAGCTTCAACAAGGATGTGAAAACCCACCGACATTAATGAGGAAAGGAAGATGCAGTGAGGAGGAAGAATACTAAGAGGGTTATTGCTGAAAAGTTCCATGAAAAAATGACTGTGAAAATACTTTACTCTGGTGACTCTGTTGGGACACCTGTCTGGAGGAGCTCATGCTTTTAATTCCCTGAGATGTGTTAGGATTTTATCCTTATTTGTGTTTTCCATTGCTGACCAGCTGTGGATGAACAGTGGCCTGGGGACTGGAGGGACAGAGAATACCAGAACCTGGCACTTTCCTTGTAAATGCTCAGCTCTCGGTGGTGCTGTCCATCCCAAAGAGCAGTGTGGGAAAGCCATTGTTTTACTAAACTATTTACCCACATTATTCTTTTGTATTCCAGGTTTTCAGTTCACGATTGCAAAATAATCAGCTGACCCCCAGTGTCAGTAGTGCTGTTGTGAAGGGATTAATCTGTTTTCTCTTTTATGTGTTTGGATATTTTTTTTGTTGGGATCTTGGTCATCTAATTACATTGTTTAATGTCTGATTTACAAGAATATAGGAGCGTCCTAATGCTGCTGTAGCTCAGACTTTTAGAAAATAGTAGCATCTGACTACTTCTTCAGTACCTGAAGGGGGCCTACAAGGGTGCTGGGAGAGGACTTTTTACAAGAGCCTGTAGTGACAGGACAAGGGGTAACGGGTACGAATTGAAAGCAGGGAGGTTTAGATTAGATATCAGGAAGAAATTCTTCATGGAGAGGGTGCTGAGGCACTGGAACAGGTTGCCCAGAGATGTTGTGGATGCCCCATCCCTGGAAGTGTTCAAGGCCAGGCTGGATGAAGCTTGGAGCAACCTGGTCTAGTGGAAGGTGTCCCTGCCCATGGCAGGGGGGTTGGAACTAGATGGTGTTTAAGGTCCCTTCCAACCCTAACCATTCTATGATTCTATGATTCTTCCATATAATGGAGTTTGACAAGTGTTGTTTACCTGAAATAATTTTTAGACTAATTAATTACTGAATTGTGTGGAATTTAAGTTTCTGTGGTTCTTTTTTTAAAGCCACTCTCCTCACTAGAAGAACACTCTTTTTGTGCTTGACGTGATTAGGAGTTTTGCTGTTCAGTTAAATGAAGCAAATTATCTTATACCCAAGTAGATACAAACTGTAGGAATTATTGCAGTGGGCCATCCATTACCTTTTATGCTGGTGTCAGTGTTTTTAAGTGTATCGATGTATTTGCACTTGCTTGAAGTAGCAATGAAGAGGCTATGTTGAGAGGAAAACTGAAGGCATTAAATTTAGAGGATGGAATCCTTGATAATAAATAGGCTCATGGAAAAATTGCTGAAGTATGTGAAGACGTGACAATAGGGCTTACTTTTCAGTGACTCTAATAAAGTCACTGAAAGAACTTCAGCAAGGATGTTAATAAAGGCATAATCTGAGACACTGTGCTGAGTTTAGCTGGGATAGTTCCTTTTCTTCCTAGCAGCTGGTACGGGGCTGTTTTTTGGATTTGTGCTGGAAACAGTACTGATAACAGGAGGATGTTTTAGCTACTGCTGAGCCGTGCTTACACAGAGTCAAGGCATTTTCTGCTCCTCACACCACAAGCGAGTATGCTGGGGGTGCACAGGGAGTTGGGAGGGGACACAGCCAGGACAGCTGAACCCAACTGACCAAAGGGATATTCCATACCATATGATGTCATGCTCAGCGTATAAAGTTGGGGGAAGAAGGAATGGGGGGGATGTTCAGGGTGATGGGGTTTATCTTCCCAAGTAACCGTTACGTGTGATGGAGCCCTGCTTTCCCAGAGACGGCTGAACACCTGCCTGCCAGTGGGAAGTGGTGAATGAATTCCTAGTTTTTGCTTTGCTTGTGTGTGCCTTTTGCTTTACCCATTAAACTGTCTTTAACTCAACCTATGAGTTTCCTCACTTTTACCCTTCCAATTCTCTCCCCCATCCTGCTGGGGGGTAGAATGAGCAAGCGGCTGTGCGGTGCTTAGTTGCTGGCTTGGGTTAAACCATGACAGTCTTTTTTGGCACCAAATGAGGGTCTGAAGGGTTCGAGATAACAACAGGTTTGACTGGAACATGCTAGATCAAATTTATAGCTGTTATTGCTGTTTAGCTATCAGTTGACAGGCTCCTGTGCTTGCTGTGGGACTTGCTTGCCTCACTGTATATTAGAGTCTGGTGCTCGTTAGTGGCTGCTATTTGCCGTTGCTGCTTGCTGTAGTGCTGTACTGCTTATCATCTCACTCTGCTGTGCCTGGGAACAGTTTGATAACTGCAGTGGCGATGTGCCTGGGCTGGCAGGTGGCAACATTGCTGCTCTTCCTGTGCTGCTGTACTGTACAGGCTGGAACTCGAGTCAAAGGGATTATGACCTGTCCACGTGGGAGCAGGACACCCCAAAGCATCTGTGGATGCTGTGGATAAAACATGCAGCAGCAGGTACACCTCGAAGCATCCATGACTGTGCATGAGGTCATGCTGGAGCATCTCAAAGTGTATGGCCATGGATAAGCCCCTGACAGAGCAGGTACAACCATGAAGAGCTTCCCCTGCTGCCTGCGGTGCAGACGGTGATGAGGCCGGCTGTGCCCCTGCAGCCATGGAGGGTCACTGTGGAGCAGAGACCCACCTGCAGCCCAGGGAGGACCCCACGCTGGAGTAGGGGGATGCCCAAAGGAGTCTGTGACCCTGTGGGCAGCCTGCACTGGAGCAGGCTCCTGGCCGGAGCTGTGGCCCCATGGAGAGAGTAGTCCAGGCTGGAGCAGGCTGCTCCTGAAGGACAGCACTCCTTGGGAGGGAACCACACTGGAACATTTCCTGAAGAACTGCAGGCCATGGGAAGTACTGACGTTGGAGAAGTTGATGGAATACTCTCTCCCATGGGAGGGACCCCATGCTGGAGCAGGGGCAGAGTGTGAGGATCCTCCCCTGAGGAGGAAGGAGTGGCAGAGACAAAGTGTACTGAACCGTCTGCAACCCCCGTTCCACATCCCCCTGTGCCACTGGTGGGGAAGAGGTAGAGAAATAGTATAGTAGGAACCCCTTGTTGCTAGCCAGGCTGCAGAAGCCTTACAAGAAGCAGTGCAAGTGCAGCAGTGACCCCACATGAGCTGGCTTTGGTGCCCACTATCTCCATGCAACACACCACTTCTCCTGTCCTGAGTAACCACCATAGCAGATGGAGCTGAAAGTCATGGACTAAATGAACGTGATGGACATATGTGGACAATTTACAGACATTTTACGGGGGTGGTCCATAGGCGAAGGAAATTATGTCTGTATTATATCAAAGATGGGGAGGGTGGTGGTGATTAATGAGTTTGTATTGGAAAGTGTGGTAACTGAGCATGACATAAACGGTATGGAATAAGGGGTGGAGAATGTGCTGGCTTTGGCTGGGACAGAGTTAATTTTCTTTCTTCCGTTTCTCTCCCATCCCGCCTTGGGGGGAGTGAGCAGGCGGCTGTGTGGTGCTCAATTGCCCACTGGGATTAAACCACAACAGAGGTTCTAAGGAATGGCAGTATAGGTATGCTGTTACGTTGCATGTGCAAGGAAATCGTGTCTGTTCTGAGGGGCATATTAACTTCAGTATAGCCCTTTTCCTTCCTATTCATTGTCTATTTCCATTTTATGGAAGTACTTGTATACATTTTATACTAATCTAAATTTAATTAATTAATCTAATTTATATTAATATAAATTTAATGCAGGCTAATGTTTAGTATTTAAAATCATGGCATTATTGTAGTCAGAAAAACTGCGCATGAAATAAGTTGCATTATATTAATCATTAGCAAGAAAATTCAATGTGCTTTGCTATTATTATGTTGAGATTGTTGACAGGTGTTAATCTTCTTTGCAGGATGCTGGCATGTACACCTTTCACAGTAGTGTCCTATTTTTTCATGTGGTACCTGCCTCCTTTTGTATCGGGAAGAGTTGCATGGTACCTGACTTTCTACTGCCTTTTCCAATCGCTGACCACAGTAAGTAGATTACAGCTCATGATGTTCTCAGCTGTAACTTGCTCGTTTTCTGTCTATGTTTATGCATTCAGATGTAGTAAACTGAGATTTAACAAAACTTTACATTTGATTTCAACTGCTAGTGAGTTTAAGGGATAGGTAGGTATCCTGGTATCAAACTCTGCTGGCTGATGGTTTCTGCCAGTGCTTTCTGTGGCAAATGACCTGCTAGTTCAGACAGATTACCTCCAGTCACTTTCATTGGCAGTTCCCCAGATACTCAACTCATTCTTGTGTGGATCCACAGAGGCAGAGATGTTGTGGGTTCCAGCTGTGGAATCCAGAACATCAGAAGGATATAGACTGGGTGGAGCGAGTCCAGAGGAGGCCACGAAGATGATCAGAGGGCTGGAGCACCTCTGCTATGGGGACAGGCTGAGAGAGTTGGGTTTGTTCAGCCTGGAGAAGAGAAGGCTCCGGGGCGACCTTATTGCAGCATTCCAGTACCTGAAGGGGCTACAAGGAAGCTGGGGGGGACTTTTTACAAGGGCCTGTAGTGACAGGACCAGGGGGAACGGGTTTAAATTGAAAGTGGGGAGATTTAGATTGGATATCAGGAAGAAATTATTCATGGAGAGAGTGGTGAAGCACTGGCACAGGTTGCCCAGAGAAGCTGTGGATGCCCCATCCCTGGAATTGTTCAAGGCCAGGCTGGATGAGTCTTCCACCTGGTCTAGTGGAAGGTGTCCCTGCCCATGGCAGGGGGGTTGGAACTAGATGATCTTTAAGGTCCCTTCCAACCCAAACCATTCCATGATTCTATGACATTCGGATTCCTAATTCCAGTTAGGCATCTAACTTGTTGTATTTTCTGTTTTCAGGAGCACATTAGGATACCAAATCTAGTTCTGGGTGTTTTGACTCAAGCTAGAAGGTCATGAAAAGTCAGGATACCAGACCTGAAATAGTACTTATAGTAGTCATCATGATATTTATGCCTGGATAGAAGGGTTTGAGCACATGATTTTTTAATATAGCCCAGAGCTTGCAATATTTATGCAGAAGACATCATTTCAGTGGATCCCAAAGAACTTCTCTGACGTGTTCTATACTGTACATGTAGGGGTTGCATTTTGCCTCATAGCCAATATCAAGATGAAACAAGGTGTCTTCCGTGCAAAGCAGTATCATGCAGAATATTAGGATGGGAAGTGAGGCTGCTACATCACAATTTGGCAGGGTATATCCCGACTGACTGAATTTCACTGGGTCATGTTTTGAAAAAATAGTTCCCAGACATTTAAAATGTTTGTATTTCTTGTTTGACTTTGGCTTTTCTCCTGTTTACAGATCTGTTGGACCAGGGAATTCTGTATTCCTGTGTTAAGCAGGA